AGCGCTCACGACTCCTTACACAAAAGAGAGGACACTCAAGGTTGGACTCACTTCCTCACGGGAAAAAGAGATTGAGAGGGTAGATAAGGTAAGGGAACAACGTACCTAGAGATAGCTGCCCCCAACCACAGATTCCTCAGCAATTGAGCCGACGTGCATTTCAACGACTGGTCATAGCCTCGGTACCACCCAAAACGCAATGCAGTGCCAGCTCAGCCAAAATGCCACATCAGCATGCTCTCATCATCATACATACATCCGCTGTCACCACAGCCTTCCAACGGTTGACCCCTCTACCTGGGTCCCGCTATATCAAGCCAGCACCAAAGTATCCTTACTTCACAGAAGCATCGTTAGCGCACCAAGTAACAATGTCGCCAGCGCCAGGTAAGTGGCGATCTCGAACCAGCTCCGATGCCAAATAGCAAGGAATATGAGTGGGAACGATATACAGAAAGTCAAGTTGTGAAATCACACAGATGTCCAAGTAGTCGTGTACAAGCAGAGAGTACAAATGCACCGAAATTCCATCCAAATAAGAGCAATACGATGAAGTAAAGAGCAAATGTTCAAGCCCCTCAGGCCACACCAAAACAGTATCCAAAGTCGCTCCTCTTTCTTGGGCGCCCAGCGCCCAGCCTACAATACTCGACTATACTACCTACATTAGCATTCTCGCAACAGGCTCACTTCTGCTCTTGAAGACCAATGTACATGACGTCAACACCATAGCCGACCTCTCTCATGTACCAGGTACATATCTCGTCTCCCCTCATCAGTCCCTGTCCACCCACACTCGCCTCCTCCTGAAGACCACCGATCGCCCCTCTCACCCCCTAGCGCCCCGCAGCCCAGCCATGGCTGTCAGCGCTCCGCTGCCCAGCAGCACCCTCTTCTCCTCCAAGCACCCGTATGCGCCCTGGCCTCTACGCAGCAGCGCAGCAGCGTGACCGCATTGCCTGTGCGGGCCAGAATGCCTGCCCCTGGCTGCCCTCCTTCCTATATGGAAGTGGCAGCCCCTGCTTGGCTGCGTGTGGCCTGGCTGGGAAGCTTCCAGTAGCTTCCGGTCGGGCCCCAGTACCTGCGCCCAGGCCCAGGGCTACAGTTGAGGGCCTGGGCCCTTTACAGTTCGGCATGGCCTGAATCTCCAGACTTGGGCCGTTTGCTGCATTTACACAGGACCCGGGTTATGTACGTCGACAGTGCTGCTTTTGCGTAGGCCTGTAGCCACTTCGTGATGTATCGGCCCTGCATTGAGTGTATGTGCCCAGGCCCCACTGCCACGGCCTGGGCCAAACTGTACGACGCAGCTCAGGGAGGCTCACGCGTCCACTCAACCAACTGGCGTGCTGCAACAGCCTGAGTACCCACATATGAAAAATGTCGAATTTGGGCCTCTAGTGAATATTCAGGCCCCCCTTCACTTAGGGCGGGCACTTGGCTTACTGGGGGCCTCTGCCCAGAACATGTGCATGTCTGATAAGGGCCCCGTGAGGACTCGTTCCTCGCACAGTGCTCAACATTGCCGTTCTCGTTCTTGACGCTCAATGAGCACGAAGGGCTATGGTGCACACGAGTCCACCTATAGTGACAAACTGTTTATAATATACATATTAGCCTCCTGATGAGTCGGTGAAACTCCGACGAAACAGTTTGTCACAGCCCCTCGTTTGTTGTCCTCTTCTCTCTCTCTGCCTACTGTTTACCAGGCAGCTCTGTTTGACCATATATACGTCTGGAGTGTATTTTTTTGGTTGTGACATACCTGTCTTTGTTTCCTGGGTGTTTTGCTGGTTTGTGATGAGGTGTGAACCGACAGTCTGTAGAGTTTTCCATCTGGTGTGGGTGAGTGATAGTCTGCTTTGATTTTCGTCACAGGTACCTTGAGGGCAGTGGTTGGTGG